CATATTTTTAATTTATCAATTTATATATATATCGAATTTTATATTTTAAAATCGAAACATATTAAAATTTGATATTATAACATTCCAACAGAGAAAGTCTTCTGATATTCCAAAGAAGAAATCTAAACGTTAATCTTTATTACAATTACTTTCTTATACTTCTGACACAAAAAGCAAGTCACTCGTAGCATGGTAGAATACATTTAAAAAATGCGTCTAAGTGCAATTGATCCAATATTATAGAAGATATCGAAGATAGCGACTATCAAATGATATAACGAAATCTCTCAATATAAAAATCTCTTTTAGGAAATTCCTCGAGATAAACCGAGCGACCCAGGTCGATAAAACAATATCCGTGAATTGATAAGAAAAATGTGGTAACGGCTCTTCTTCAACTCTCCTAATGGACGCTGGTTTAAGTGCGCGTCGCTCACAGAATAACGTGACTGATACATCGTATCACAATCGAGGAAGAAAAAAAAAGACATGTGACTCGATCTGTACAGATAAAGTCATGCACAAATACGTATATAGGAACAATTCATAGCCAGACGTTACGATCGAATCAAAAGTTGGCGTACACATCCGGATTAATATGCACTCACTAATTGCAGGCTGCATATTGTCAGTAGAAAATGCCTTCTGCTGCAAATTCCCATGTCATTTGGCCGCGCTCCGCTCAACGAGCGATCTCGCGCGGTACGATCGGAGCAAATAACGACGGCACTCGCTCGCACTGCATCACTACTGCGGCACGTTTCGCTGCACCATCGCCATCTTTTGCTTTTCCCCTGTTTGTTGCTCGACTGAAACACTTGTTCTACCCTCCCTATCGCGCGCGGTATGACGGTATCACTGTGTGCGAACTGGTGCGAACCTACGATCCACAGCAAGTGGCATGCACCGTGCGCTCGTAGCTAGGCGTAGCCAGGCAACCAAAGCCCGGAGCACGCTCGTTTTGTCACGGTTGGTGAACGACTGCCACCACCGCGGCACGTGTAAGAAATTTGCCTCCCCTCCCTCAACATCGTGGCAGCTGGACGAAATAACGTGTTGCTTTGTCGAGGCCGAGCTATGCACCTCTATTCGATTCTATTCGATTAGAGAGAAATATAAATATATAACGTTCTTAAAAATAAAAAAAGACATGGGTTTGGGTGCAGAAAATTAAAATTCTAATTCAGTAATGCGAAAATTTTTATATAAAAAAAAAAAAAATAAAAGGTAACAGTTATATAAATTTGTAAGTGTAGGTCGAAATCGTGCTGTATGTATCGATACTGCTGCGATAATGCTATGAGCAGGTCTGCCAAACTATAAATATGAATTTTCCCGCCATTGAGAAAGGAATGTATCTAAAATAAAACTAATGATATGATTGGATATAATTAACCCAAATACCTAAACATCCATTCACTAAAATGTTCTTGCATTCACCAAGTAATATTCAAATACTCAAATACTTGTTTTATTTCAGAAAAATAAATATTCAAGTACAATTTGGTATTCATTAAGTAATAATTGGTTCGAAATATCATTCAAGTATTATTAATTTTATAGACCATATTTCTACATAAATACTTCAATAGAAATTTATTAATTATAATTAAATTATTTAAAAAAAAAAGAACAGAAAATAGCTCTTCCTAATTGGCAATCATTAATTTAATTTAATTTTTTATACACTATTTGTTATTTTTGTCATACAACGAACTTAAATATATTTAGTTATAAAATTTATTAAAAGTTGCATTTTTTTAATTTATTTGTTTTTAATATATTTTTATATTTTATTTCTTATCATTCTTTCTCTTTCCAAAATTTGATTAAAATTATTCGTTTGGGTACAGAAAGTTCCAGGAAATGTAACTGAACGAACAGATATATTCGATAATCGATAATCATAAATTGTTACGTTCAAGCTACGGAATGTCTAAAACATGTGTACACATTGTATCTAATTTATAATTTACTTTAAAAGAATTTACATAATTATTATTTGTTATAAAACACAATGTAGAAATTGTTATAATACCAAAACTCGCGAATAATTAATAATTGTTATTTATGAGATCGCCTTATCTTTGAAGTCAAATTAAGTTTCTAACATTCTAACGTCAAGATTATCAAAACTATTAAAAATTCTTTGTCTTCCGTATTTCTCGTGGTTTTACTTCTGTACACGTATCTTCAAAAACGGTAGGAATATACTTAAAATTATTAAAAGATTATAAAAAGATTATTTGCTTAACGTTAAATAATAGAACAGTTATTATAAAAACATAGTAATTATTTTTGTAATTACATATAGAAGATACATTTCTAATAATCTTTATTTATCTTTCCGAAAAGAAACTTGTTTCTCGATTTTATACATATTATGTAATTTTAATTAAAAGCACCATGAATCTCTCTTATTTTTCCGAAAACATAAATTGTATATAGAGAGTAATTATAAAATGGATTATAAAAGTAATTTTCAGAAGATTGCGATCACCGCCGTACATTACTCGAGAATGAAAAAGGACAGAATCTCGAAGAAACAAAATATTTCTTCGATCAAGGAGATTCCAAAATTGGTAAATTTTCGAAAACTCAGACAAGCAAACGTAATTCTGCATGGCAAATCTGCTGGGTCTCCAGCACAAAAATTCCAACGCGAACTACAAGGTCTATTTGCAGAAAGTGTAAAAGTAGACGATTTCAAGCATTTAAAAAAGGTAACTTATCATCCATGAGCATCGTATTTAACAATAAAAGTGGCTACTTGATTCCGAAATTTATTTTTATTACAAAAATATTTGTATTTAAAAAAAATCTGATTATTGTTGTATTTAATGTTAAATTTGTGATCAATAATATGTATGCTTTGGATTCCTCAAAGATACGGCTCTATTAAGGTGTAACGAGGGCACGTTTCGCGTGCGGAAGATATATGGAGATGGGAATTGCATGTTTAGAGCGATCAGCTACATTTTGTGGCGAAACGAGGAAGAGCATCAATCGCTCCGAGCTATGGTCAGTTCGACCTCAGTCAGTTGTAATTTAACTGTAAATATTTTAACTAGATAAATATGAAATTCTCGCTACATGTGAAATATCACAAATATTATAGATTGATTGCAACGAAGTTAAAAACAGAATCGTATCGTGATGGGAGACAAAGGTTAATTAGTTAAAACGCGTAGATGCCATATATTTCTACTCTATAAATATTACTTTTTATGATGTCAACTTGATAGTAACACAGGCGGTAATTGATATATGACATGTATAACAGCTATGGATCATTTGGTAGGTTGTGCAGCATATTAAGAGCAATTGGCGCGAGTACGGTCCATTCGTGATAGCTGAATGGAACATTTCGGATTGCCAAGAATACTACGATTACATGAGTTTAGTAGGCACATTTGCCAGCGAGCTGGAATGCACGGTAGCCACAAAACTTCATCGCATGAATCTTTCGATTTATCGCGAACTTCCTGGCAGATACGAGCTTAAGTTGGTCTTCCATAACCGCGTGAATATTAACTATGAAACCGCGAGACTCCTATTCACCGGATGTTCTGAAAGCGGTCATTACGATGTTTTGTTACCCGATTCAATGTCAAGCTTTCTTATGGGCCAATAAGTTAGACTTTGTGGCAATTAATAAAAATGAATAAAAGTTAAAATAATTTTTGACAAGATCAAATAAGCAATTAAAATTATAATATATATACAAAAATTTACTTTACTAATTTTTTTAACAACTATGACATATTTTGCGTTTTGTAAAAGATATTGTTTAATTTATGAGAAATATAAAAAATATACAAAGGAGTATGTAATAAATGTATACTAAATTTATTAAGACGTAATTTTTAATTTGCGAACATAAAATTTAGTAATATCTTTGTAAGAGATAGATTTAATCAAATATGGTAGTTAATTGATAATTATATATTTGATGAGAAGGATAAAAAAAAAGGTAAAGACAAATTTTTGAATTTTTATTAACAGAAAATCTATTTTCTTAAAAACTACGAGGATCGTCTTTATATAGCAATATAATAATGTACTAAGATATTGTAATACATGACGATTTATAATTCTAATTTGACTCCGTGTGAATATTTGGAATGATTCTTCCCTTCACATAATTCGTGGGAAAAGGTACTTCTTACTACACAAATTTCAAACAGCTTTTTAAAGGTTTTTACTGTCTACCTCGAGGAAACTCGCTAACAGAAAATGTGAATTCCCACACTTGTGTTGGTGGCCGACTGGAATGCTTCATGCTTCATGAGCAAGAACAGGATTTAAAAGGAATAATCGCATCCCTGCGTGTGAAGCCATTGTGAGACCGTCGTTATTGCGCTATAGATCACACAACTGAAATACAAGATCGCAAAAAGTCAATTAAAAATGATATATACTGTATCAAGAATTTAATTGCCACAAAATCAAATCTGCATGATTTATGCGAATTGTGCAAAAATGTTGAGATGTTAGCAAAGTGAAAATAAACGTACATGAAATAATAAAATAAAAAATTCAATATATGAAAGAATATTACAACAGTTTACATAATTGTGTTTAAAATAAAGATTTTTTCATTTTTTATTGCATATATGCTGCAATATGCTAAAAAATTTATTACTTCTTCAAATTTCTTCAAATTTAATTTTAACTCGAAATATTCAAATATTCATATTATATAATGTTTAAAATAACATAAATCGATCTTAACAATTAATCTTGACTAATTTTTAATTAGTTATTATCAAGCTTTTTACCTTATTTGATACATCATTTTCGAGCACCAATTAATGCTAATGCTGCATTGGCCTCTTCTGATTGCCTCCACAACCTCCTTAGCTATTGCTTGTTCTTCTTGTCTTCTCGAGGAACTATAATATAATATTAGTGATTTGAAATTAGTTATTAGAGGAACAATGAGAAAATTTCTTTATTCTCTTTTTCTTCTTTTTGGGAAAACTCACCTGCGTGCTGTTGTAGGTGAAATCGCGAGGAAGGTAAGATGGCTATTATGATTGCTCAACTCCTGACCCAAACTTTCCATAAGACCTAAATGTAAATAAATCACGCGCTATTAACCAACATGACACTTATTGTTTACCGCACGCGATTTGTTGAATGGCTTTTATGATCGACTACACTCACCGGCAATCGCCGCCCTCGAGCTCAAATATACATCCTGGGTTGATGTAATTGGCGTAATTCCGACAATGTGTGCTCTGTCGCGTTGTAGCATAAATGGCAAAAATGCCAACATCGTCTACAATGAGAAAAAAAAGAAGAAGAAAAACTGTATCACAGTTTAACAAACAAAGGCAAAGATATGTGCAGGAATGTAGTTGATGATATAATGATCTTAGCCGAAAGGCAGACCTAGTCAAAACAATGATAACACAAAATATGCCAAAATGAGATCGAAAACTGAAAGTACTAATTAGATGGATTAAAAAATAAAACGGATTTGCGGATTCAAAGATAAAAAGAATATTTAAAGACTTACAAGCAGATATTAAATGTTGAAAAAAGCGCAATAATAAACGATAAAGATGAATATCAAGAGATGTATGTATGAATGTCTTATGACATGACAAAATTGCTTCAAGGACACAACTGACGCTCACCCAATAATGACTCATGAGAGTAGTATTGGCTGTATCGAAAATATCTTGATAAGACTGTCCGGCACAGGTCACTAGGACGTCGATGCCACCGACCTCATCCTCGACCTTCTTGGCGATCTCACGTATGGCATTACGATCCAGCAGATTACATTCGTATGCTGCCATTGTGGGTCCGACATTCTCCTGCTCTTTTTCCCTGTGGTTAGGTCCGATTCCCTTCACTTTATTGCACCGTGATTTTAACCTAGTTGTTATCTCCTTGGCGGATCTAAAATCGTTATCCATGCAGATCACAGAACATCCACCCCTCGCGAATTCCTCGGCAAGAGACTCTCCGAGGGCCGACGAGACACCGGCAATCTATTATAGAAAACATTTGTCCGTTAAGAAAGAATTATTCTATATTTTCAAGACTATTGAGTTTTAAATCAAATTTATATTTATATGTAATTTACGATAGAGACAGAAAAAACGCAAAATCTTAAGATAACTACCCAGATAGCCAAGTCTGTAGAAAGCAGATTTTTTTAAATGTCTGCCAACAAAATAATAATAAGAATTAGATGTATGTAACAAAACTGTTGACAGACTGCTAGAAAAAAATGTAACATAAAAAATGTAACACAAAAAAATGTAATCTGCAAGAGTCAGATAATGTCGGCAGGATCAGCTCAGTTTCTGCCAACAATTTACCTTCACATTATATCGACAGGCGATGTTAACAGAACACAAATCTAATGCAGCCGCAATTGATGGCAGACTATCATCATTTTCTATTCGAATCTGCTAGAAGACTGCAGATATTTTGCTATCTGGGTATTTATTACATTTAATTGTATCACATGCAGAATTTATTTCTTCTAACTTTTCAATTCTAATTCAAATAATATTTATTACACTTTATAAATTATACATATTATGTAAATTAAATATTTAAATTGTTAATTTTAATTATAAAAACGTAATAGTTGTATATAATATAAATTAATAAATTAATAAAATATATAATTTCAAATTAGTGAATAGAAAAATGTACATACTAAAACTACATCACCGCTCAAATCCCTTGGTGGCTTTGGCAGAAGAGATTTTATGACATTAAGGATGACTAAGAAACTAGAAATTACAGCGCCAATTATAAATTCGGAACTGAGATAAAACAAAACATTAATCGAAAAGCCTGTCCTTGAAGCCTTTGTAGTCACTGATTCGTCTTTAACTCGTAGCATCATCCGCTGCAAAATAATACAAATTAATTATTTTATTATGATATTCAAATTTGATAAAACTTATTTAAAATTTAAGTATTAATAACTACAAACTGTAAGTTAATTAATAATTAATTGATTTATTTGTTATGCTTTTATTTATTAATTTATTTATTATTAATTTATTTATTATTGTAGATTTTAAAATGTATATACAATTATTATTGTATAATCATTATTATTAATTTTGAGAAATAATACAATTATAATTTGTTAATATATAATGTTACAATTATATTCATTAATCTTCAATAAACATGATTGGGTCTTACATCATTCGTGTCTTACACATTTCTTTTCTTTGAAATGCTAGAAACATCTAGCTAAATTATAGTCTCTATGTATCCTTTCTTTTTTTAATATTCAACTTAATTATTTCTTAATTTTTTTCTTTACTGCACTTATAAATATCTATCTTACTTGTAATTGGAAGGTATGATAAATTATACTTGCACTCTGTCGAAACCAATGCACTTTCATATAAGAAAGTATAATATCAACGCGATTATGAGCAAGTAGTTATATAACGTGCAACGTTCTGTATGCCTACCACATGACGTATAATGAAGAATGTAACACTTTATAGACAAGCAAGCACCCCAAAAGATTTATGATCCTTCGCATCGAGATGTGAAAGCAAACTAATTCTACAGAAATGAATCATGTATGCCAGAGACTGTTACAAAGATTCTCTATACAAGTTGAAATATATCCTAAATAGGTCACATTATTTTGATCTAGTTTTATATATTGCATAATTAAAAGATTTTAAATTATCGTTTTAGCATAGTAACACGTGTTTAATTCTTAAATAAAGTTCCTATTAATGCAACGTTTTTTACGGTACATAATTTTTATGTTGAATAATAATTTGTATCTTTTATTAACACTTAAAATTTGCTATATAATAATTCACTTTTTATTACTCGTGATATAATTTATAATTTTTGTATTTCATTAAAAAAAATATACAGTTGACTGAATAATCCCGGAAATTAATTTGCATTACTTAAGCTGTGAAATATATGCGTCTGCTTCTATTTCTGCTTTACTAGATAAACATACTAAATTTACTTGCAAAATGTCATAAAACCGCTAAAGATCTCGTCAGTATTATGTAAGATTGATAGCATTATATAACGTAATATTAACGTAACATTAACGTTTTTACTATGCAAAGAAGAAAATAAAACAGTTATAAATTATGTGAGTCAAACTGAAATGGAACGCGTTAAGAAATGTTGGACTTGATATAAATACTCAAAACTTCATATATTTTAGCTACAGTTTAAACATTAACTTCGGAAAAAAATATTCCCTTTTTTAGTATAATATCTCATAATATAACCTTAATTATAATATAGATAAAACAAAATTATGTAAATATTTATTTCAAAAAACTTTATTAATTCTATCTTAAAGGAATAAAATAATAGTTTAAAATGTAATTCTTTTTATGTAACTTATTTTATGTAAATTATTTTATAATTATATACGCTTTTATTAGATTTTATAACTATGATTACAGTGTAGACAGAAGAACTTTAAGAAAAGTTATTAAATTTGTATAGAAATTTTCAAAAGTTATGTAAAGAATTCTAAAAAAGTTTTCACCAAGAATAGAGTATACAAAACTTTCTGACTGGATAAATGAAACATATGAATGTGTATATATCTTTTAAAAGAAGATTGAAAAAGAAGATTGAAAGTGCTGTGAAGTTTAACAAACCATAAAGTTGTACCATTTGTTTTTTTTTCTGTTTGAATAACATAAATCTTTGGTTGAGTCGTTTCGACATAATCTTGACAAAAAAACAAACAATATCACTTTTGAAATGTTTGTTTAGGCACGCCTAAAATCACAAATAATATAAAAAAAGTTTCTTAAAACAGCGGAGAAAACTTGTATACTCGTATAGAATACATAATTCAATACAATGTAACTTCAGTATTAAGACTGCAAATTTGTGCAGGTGGAGACTAATTTGCAGCACGCTAGGAACTTTGATGAAATAATTAGTACAATGGAAATTAGAATATAAAGATATAAGATAATAAAAAAATAAACATATAAAGTAATCGGATTAAGGTTTAATGCCCGTAAATGTCAATGCACTTGTCATAGACATATAGTGGATTTCTCAAATGCAGTCTTAGATATATAAGCACGAATAGCTTATTGGAAAAATATGAAAATATGAGGAAACACGCGGAACACAAAGTGTATGTAAATGCGCGCTGCATATCTTAACTTGCAAATGCAACATTATAAATCTGATGCGGTGTTTATAGAGCGAACACTATTTTTCCTATTATGTAACAAATATGTATTCTCTTTAAGTGCACCACTTTCCACCAAGTAAGAGTAAGCAAAACCCAGCAGTGCATTTGCCGTAATCAGATATCTATTATCTGTTATATAAAGCTATATATAAGAAAATCTATATATAAAAAAAATTAAAAGCTACCGTTCGAGATATAAGCTTGAAATTCGTTCTAAATTGATATTTTATGGGAAATGATAAAATATTAATGCAATGAACCTTTTGTTTGTCACAATTAGTAACGCCGTAATAAAAACTATTAATAGCGATAATAATAGAGTCAAATAACAATTATTAATGTGAAATAACGGCAATCGTCACCGCAAAGCACTCATAAAAAATTGAGATGAAAGTATAGATGAGATGTTAAGACTTAATTGTTCTTAAAGGCACTAATTACGATATTATCATTTTACTGATTGAAGCTGAGTCAGAGGAAATTTAAATTTTTTCACGTTCTGCGTACAGATTGACAGGCGATCATATCTCATAATGCACTCAAGTAATTGTGCAAGGCATTCATCTTCAAAGTTTTTCTATATATAAATACAAAGTACAAGTTTAATTAATCATTTTAAATTACGTTAAAATATAGAAAAATGAAAAAAATATATACTTAGCTTTAATCGACTCTATCTGTGGTTTCCAATATTATAATATTAATTATAAACTTTATCGAGTTTCTAATCAAATTTCCAAAACAAACTTATACATTTTCTTACGTAATATTTCGGCATAGACGTGATTTCTCTAAAAATTTTCTTACCCTTAAAACAATAGCTCAAGATAAAGGTTGATTATCTATTGTGTAACTTTTTCATATTTATTCTTTTAATTGTATTTTTGTAAATTAAAAAATATTAATTGAATATCATCAAAAGTCAAATTATATTTAAAAGAAATCTAGAACAAAGACTAGCAGTAAAAACAGTTAGTCATTAATCCGTTTCACGTTAACACAAAGAAATGCAGGTATCTAATGAATACTTCGTATTGGATCAATCGATTTCACGTGATAGATCGACAAATTACAACTTACATCATTACGTATTAGGTTCGTTCTCGCCGCACTCTTATAATTTGCAGGAATAATATTTTTATTTTGAATAGCTATTCTGTAATTAGAATACCATGTCTATTTCAAATCGAGTAAAGTAGAGATTAATGATAGTGCAGGAACCGAAACATTCTAAATAATAGCGTATATTTTTTATGATCAGTTTGTTTACGTCATCACATTCCCGACACGTTACACAAACCACATATTATTTGTAAAAGGCACTTGAACTTTTGTTGCCATTCGTTTGAAGTACACATAGATATATAGCATAAAACAAGATTAGTCACTTCTGTAAGTTTGGTACAGTTATATATATTTATAATGTAAAAATAGATATTATTAATTAATTTTGTTAAAAATATGTATTTATATATATTTTTATTATTTAAAAACTATTCAAATCTATTAATTAAAAAAATCTACTGATAATCCGTAACATGTTTTTATTTGTTTTAAATGGTTTTTTACTCGTTTCATCTTGTAATATGTCAAGACAAATAGGAGTGGATTAATAAACTTGATGTATCTATTTGTAAAATTCTTTTATCAATAAATTTTTCAGTTATTCTAGATATCTGAATATTTTAATTAATTGTAAATAAAACATATACAATACATATGCGGTCTGTTTTCTATGAACTAGTACACTTTTGGAACTTAAAATGAGATAAGTATATGTTTGATATTTGTCAAAAGCGAGAAAAGGAGTTCTAGTGCAGTCTCGTGCAGGAACAGAAAACAGACCAATGATCTCTTTTATACACACATATATATATATATATACATGCATACATATATATATTCTCTTGTATATATTATATAAATACATATATTTTAGAGCTAGACAAATTGTATTCTCTAAATTCAACAAGTTAGTTAAGTGGATATTCTTTTTCTCTTTATAAAATTTTAATTCAAATATATATTAATTATAAAAACACTTAAACACAATTCAAAGTCTTAAATATTATATTAAATTTCTTATCAAAATTGTATTGTCAAAAATAATAAAAAATTAATGAAAAAAAAGATATAACATTAGCAGGATTAGTCTAATGTGGAAGTAATCTTATTAATTCAACAACAATACTAACAAATAATATTTTATTACAATTTGAGCATAATTTATTTCATTAATATTATTATTAAATTAACAAGATTATTTTCAAACTGATGTTAACTGATGTTAACTGATGATTGCTAATAAAACATTGTTTTTTCTATGTGTAGATAAAATAAAAGATAAAATTTTAAAGTTTCTATTCTTGATATAAATCAAATTTTAGAGTAAATTTTAAACCGTAAATTTTATTATGAATGCAAATTGTCTCTTCGCATACCTATTTTAACAGATTATCCAAATTTACACTATATAATATTATATAAGTCCGCATATAGCACAACGCAGCGGTCTTATAGTCGCACAGAAGGAATAGAGCGAGAAACGTTACCGCGAGGGACGCGTAGATCACTGGATCACGTTGGATCTCCAAGTCACTCGGCAGTTTTGTGAACAGTGGGGAACGTAAAGGAACAACAATTCCGTGAATGTAACGACGTCAGTGGTCAGTCCGCTCGAATCGCTTGAACTTGACTGAACACTGGAACGGTACAACGCACTGAGAATAGTCAAGTTATAAGACCCAACCAAGGTCGTCGTCAGCGCCGTCATTTACTTGTTCCTTTCCTTCTTCGCTTGAGTATTTTCTATCATTCTCTTTATGTAAATAGTGCTGGAAGCTGCACATCATTAATCGCATAATAAATTCGTAATATAACTTGTTTGATTTCAATATTAATAATGTACATCTAGATTTCCTAATTAAAATATTCTTGATTGAATGGAAAAAGAAATTCTATTATTGATTTTTAATTACGTTTATTTATAAATCTTTAATATTATTATCAAACAAGTAATAATGTTAGTAAAATTTTACGTAAATTATTTTGTAAATTCATCTATTATATAAATTTATTATAGATTTTATAATATTGTATTACTCGCGTTTAGCAATAAAACAAGATAAAGTTTTTAATTTTATTAAGCAAAAAATTAAATTTATTGTGCAAAAGAAAAATAGATGAATTTATTATTTAAAATCAAAGTCTTTAAATGCTAAGTTCTGAGAGATTTATATATATTGGAAGAAAAGATTGGCAACGCAATCAAAAATTGGCTGCTGCAGCAATTAAACATGTTACCATATTCGGCTGATCTCTTTTTTCAATGTACATATATAGAAATTAAGATCCGATGACAGAAAGGTTGTAACACTTTTTTTTCCGATATAGACTTCGGAATGCAGCTTGCTCACTAAGTGGTTGATTCTTG